TATTGAGGGCAACAAAAAAATGAAAAATTGAATCGCGGTTAACCGATTGCATCGGTTCAGTTTCGGTTTGGTTAAATTAAAAAACCAAACAGTTATATTTGGTTTAGAAAATTACCCCACGGTTCGGTTGAGCACCCCTAACTATAATCCATGGACTCTCAAAAGCTCTAGAGTGGAAGAACGTATCAACAACCCTATTTCTTTCACACTCTCTTTTGGTTGTTAATAGCTTAGTGAGCAAGGAGGATAGTGAAGTATGGCACGTGACTCATCTAAAGGATTATGCGATGGATCTTTTGTCCTCTTTTGGTAACATATGTATAAAGCATATAAATAGAAACAATAATCTACTATCTCATTAACTAGCATATAATGCTTGTAAATATAGTATAGTTGCCCAATATGCTAGTAGTATATCGCCATCCTGTACAAACTATTATGGGTAGTAAGGATATTTTCTTATGTTTTTTGAAAAAGAAAAACTGCTTGGGTTGTAACCTAAAGTGTGAAGGTGTGTATTTGCAAGAAACATTGAACTAGACCAAACCCAATGAGTTTCTGGACTTTATGATAGTTGGAATAAACCCCTAAACTTGATATTGGTATCATGTTGAGTATTAGATTTGGTTGCCTTTGATATGCCAACCAGTGAAATCCTTTTAAGGGTCAAATATCTAGGTATGTTAGGTCAATAAAAAATGGTATGTCACCTAGTGATCAGTGTAATAGAATCTACTACGATGTTGAGATAAAATATGCTCTATACAACTTCCCATGATGGATGTCTAAATTTGTTGATAGTAAGATTACATGATTCATTTATTAGGATCTATTGGATGTGGAGGCTAGGCATTGTGTCATAAAGATTAAGAGGAAAAAAGTCCTCCTATTCCCCATATATAGACCTGTTCATGGGGCGGGGCGGGCTTTGCATATGTATCAACATAATACACTTAGGCCTGAACCCAAGCCCAGTCCGACCATCAGGCCTAGGTCTTGAGCCCAAGCTCGGCCCTCAAGTGTTGCTGACAAAGAGATTAATTTCAAGTGATAATATGGGCTAATTTAACTAGATAATCACATAATGGGTTGGACCAATTGGACTAAGACATTTAGGATGGCAAGGCTCAAAGTCATCAAGTGTTTAGACACTTATTGGACCGATTCATTAAAGACCCTAATTGATAAGGGTAAATTAGCCACATTGGTGAATGGCTTTAAGTAGTTGGCCCCACTAGGCTAAGTATTGGGCTTATGGAGATTAAAGTTGGTTAACATATTTAGTAGTGGTTCCCATTAGGGGTGTAATCGGATCAAACAATATCTGAATTCGAATCCGACAAAAAATCCAATATCCGAATTCGATTTGATATTTGATGGATATTGAAAATTAATATCCGAATTTAAATCTGATTAAATAGTCAAATATTCGATTCAATTAGATTAATTAATTATTTTTGATAATTAATAAATATTTTATTGATATAATGTATATAAATATATAAATTATTTATATAATTTAATTATTATATATATATTATATAAAATAATATATATATATATATTTTTTATAAGAATTAAATAATCAATCGAATTCAAATATTTATCGAATCAAATCAGGTTATATTTGAATTCGAATATGATTAACTATTCGGTATAAATAGGATATTTGAATTTGACCAATTAGATATTCGAATTATCCGAATTCGATTCGATTACGTCGAATATCGAATTCGTTCGAATTTTTGAATACCATTTACACCCCTAGTTCCCATGCCATATAAGCTAGTGCATCCCTTATTAGGAAGATTTCCAAGAACAATAGATGTTTTAATTTGGTCAGGAGTCATCTTTTTAAGAAAGCCTAGTCAAATTATTACAAGAAAGTCAAAGTTATAATAAAATTTGACTATGACTCTTAACCATAATGGTTCTAGTATTTGGGCTGAATTAAGAGATCAAGATTCTCTCCATATATTTCTTAATTATGTTAAGAAACATTATTAGATTAGGAAAAGATTCTTGGCAGTCCATCATAAGTTATAAAAGACTCATATAGAGGAGATCTTGTTGCCCAGGTAAATAAATCCAAGAGGGGGTGAATTGAGTTCTACAAGTTTTCCTTCCAATCAATGCCTTTTCAGTATAAAGAAAGAATATCAATAATTGAAATCAAGAAAGGCAATAACAATGAAGTGCACATACAAGATTTTGTTTCAGGTTTGGCCAAATAAGATATGAATAATATAAGTATAGGTAAATGCAATGCCTCTGAATAGGCTTATATAGCTATACAAACAAAACTATCTTAGGTAACACAATGAATTCTTGGGATCAATGAGGCTTTTTGAGATTCATTGAGATCTTTGATTTTTTCTATAACTAATATTAATTAATATTAATTATTTTATTTAATTATTAAAATAAATAATAATGATTAGTTATATGCTTATTAAATTAATTATTTAATTATTAATTTACAATAATTAATAATCATGTAATTGTTTATCTTATATATTATTAATTTTACTATTTACAAACTATTTTATGTTCGTATAATTAATCGCTGACTAATTTTTTAAATAATTAAACATACTTTCTCATATGCAGGGTTAAAATGGTCAATTGTTATTTTTGCAATTCAACATTTAGATTTCAGAACAACATTCTTTACATTCAGACTTCGTAACCAAGAAAAGTTGACCGATTCTAATACACCTCTAAAATTCACTATGACTTTTATCCATTTCTCTTAAACTCATCATGATTGTTTAAAACTTATAGAGAGCCCCTATTAATGAGTTTTTTTTTTTCCTAAAGCTCACCTTTTGTCGATTCACATAGGCATTTGATTATTTATAGAAGTCCACATAGGCATTTGATTAATTTACTTAACCAAACTACCCTTAAATGACCAAAAAATCTTATTAAATAGTTAGGGGTAATTCTATCATAAAATATTTAATAAGGTTGACTAATCATTCAAAGAATAGTTTGGCCGAATAAAATACTTAAACGCTTACATGAATAATTTCTATTAACGATCACTAATGATGATCTAACAGAAATATATAATGAAGGGCAATTTGGATATTTAAAAAATTCTTAATATATCACGTGATGTAATAGGAGTATTTTTCGTGTACCTTGAAAGGCTAATCAATGTGGCTATTTGGAGTTGAGATCTTATGCTAATAAAATGTTTCAACCCTTTACCAACTTGATCTAATACCACACGTCTTATTATGAGATTGGGACCCACCATAAAAGTGAGACCTGCCATGTATGAGATGTGCGGTGTGAGATTATGTTTCACAGGGTGCACCTCACACCGATCTCATAACCCCATTTGGACCTGAGGTCGGCGTAAGTCCGTGAGGAGCAAATCCCGATTCCTAACAACCACCCATGAGTTAGTTTTTTTTTTTCTCCGTTAAAGAGTGCGTTTGTCTTTAAAATTTTCTAAATGAAGACAATGGGGTAGTTTCTAACTAGAGGTGAGTAAGAAAAAACCAAAAAACCGATTGAAATGGAACTAAAAGTCTGGTTAACTGAACTATTTGGTTTGGTTTTGGTTCAATATTTTTAAAAAATTGAAGGTACTGGTTTGGTTTTGGTTAACCAATATAGAAAACTGGTGGTTAACCGAACTGACCGGTATACATATATTTATAGTTTTTATTATATATTTATATATTTTTTATAATATATTATAAATATAAAAAACAGAAAAATTGACGAACCAAACTAGTGAACTAGTTAACTGATCAACTTCAGTTCAGTTTTAATTACCGGTTTTCCAAAACCGATAATACCGATTCGGTTTCAAAAATAGGCCTACGAACGAATTGGGATCTACTCCTCACACTGGGCGCCTCACAATGACCTCATAGAAGATGTTCCCAATGCATGGTCGGATGTGCCTATGAGGTCGTTGTGAGGCGCCCTATGTGAAGAACAAATCTGGTCTTCCTACGAATTGAACTGAACCGTGGGTGCCTCACAACGACCATCCTACCACGAACATCCGACCATGTTCCCAATGCATTGTTCTTCACATAGGGCGCCTTACACGAACATCCTACCATGCATTGGGAACATCTCCCGTGAAAACCAAATAACTTATAAGTACGGGAGATGTTCCCAATGCACGGTGGATGTGCATGTGAGGCGCCCAAGTGTCAGGAGCAGATCCCGTTCCCTAACAAATTGCATGGGCACCCTACAAAGCTCCTCAAACCCGCCCCACAATACAATCCAACGGTGCATTGGAAGCATCGCTAATGACAAATAGGAGAGATGTTTCCAATGCATGCTGACATGCGAATGTGGGGCGCCAATTTACAATCGTCCGGTCGTCCTTAATGAGTTCAGATCTACTTCTAATTAGACGCTCCTAACACGCAATAGACCACGGTAGCTACACCGCCCAGGCATTAGATGCTGATTCTGTCCACGAAATATGACAACTGCGCATTGGGAATATCTCCTTATCATTCATGGGGAGATGTTCACAATAGATGGTGGTGGTAATTTGAATGTGAGTACTTATAAGTAGAAGATTCCGAATCTTAGGATTATTGGAACATTTCCTATAAGGAACGGGATCTGCTTCCGACACTTGGGCGACTCACATGCGGTGACGGATTTTATTCCTCACAAATGAGCGCCTCACATGTACATCCACTGTGTATTGGAAACATCTCCCGTGAATAATAATAAATAAGTATGGGAGATGTTCCCAATGTATAATAGGATGTATGTGTGAGGCGCCAGGTGTGAGAAGCAGATTCAGTCTCCGCACATTCGGAGCATCTCCCGTGAAAAATAATTTATAAATACGGGAGATGTTCTAATGGATGGTAGGATGTGCGTCTGAGGCACGTGTCAGGCTCCCTAAGTGAGAGCAGATCAGGTCTCCCTAAAATTAATTAATTGACTAATTCTACTCCTACTTGATTATTGTTTCTTCCCTTCCCCTATTCCGTCACTTCTTTGACATCAACACCATCGTCTGGTAGCTTTAGGCTTTAGCAATGGAAATCTCAGTCAGCCTTTTCGCTCTCTACCCCGTTGAGCAAGAACAAGCAGGCAAGCCCTCTGGAATCAAGATGACCGCCATTATCGAACAACGAAGCTGACAGGTTACGAATAATTGGAGATAGGTTGAGGAAACTCGCCGAAATCAATTTCAGTCTAGCAACTCTATAACTTTTTTAAGTAAAAATATAGTCCATTTCTACATTTAAGCTTTCAAAGAAAAGAAGAAAAATGTAGCTCTAGCATCCCACCTCACTCCCCTTTTTCCTTGCCATTTAGAAAGCCGTCAGTAGTTCCCTGAAACATGGAGATGGATTCCATCTGTTCGGTAACCAGGACTGTTGATGATTATCCTCCAATGGGTCTTGAATCTGGGTTCTAGCGCTGGCACTGTCATTTATCCCAGAACATATTGAGTGAAATGGCTACCAATGGCCGAACACAAGGGTTCTGGTGCTTGCCAACACCTAGCCGAACAAAACCAACATCCAATTACATTGGGTGGTGAAATGGCTACCAATGGAACAAGCTCTTCTTTTCGTTTTTAACATCTTCAGTATCCCCCACTAAGTTTCCGAGTTTTTCCACTCCCAGGCGTGAGTTCTAGATCATCCACTCCTATTTCGTGAATCCTCTCTCCCTCCCAAGGTTTCACCCTTTCGCTTTCGAGCTCAAACTCTGATCCCCATCCCAGCTCATCCCTCCGAGACAGTATCCCCCACTAAGTTTCCGAGTTTTTTCACTCCCAAGCGTGAGTTCTAGATCATCCACTCCTATTTCGTGAATCCTCTCTCCCTCCCAAGGTTTCACCCTTTCGCTTTCGAGCTCAAACTCTGATCCCCGTCCCAGCTCATCCCTCCGAGACCTACAACAGCATCCTGGCTTGATTTTTGCTCGGTCACACACTTTACAAGGTTAAATGTAGGCGAAGATGGAGAAGCGATAGGACCAACTGAACCAACTGCGGAGGCATCAGATTCACCACACTCGGGTATGGTGGTAGGTGGCTGATGGTGACGGCGAGTAGGGCTTGCAGGAGCAAAGGTTGCAAAAAAAATGAGCGACGGAAAGAGCCCAAGGAGCTGTTGGAAAGAGATTCCACGTCAGGGTTCAGTTTAGAGCTCTTGAAGTTGGAGAAGACAAAGGTAGCGATTGCAAAAATGAAGAGCTTTAATGTAGCTAAAACTGCACTCGAGAACACAGAGGACCAGTTCTTCCATGTAAGTTTCTAGAATTTCTGCTTCTTATGGCCAATCAGAAAGTGAGGAATCAACGGATATAGCAACATCCGTCTTCAATGCCGCTAGATGCGTACTATAGTGGCAACATTTTTCCTCTTCAGATCCGACCATTAGGAATAGGATCGCGGTGGCGGTAAAATTTTTTTAGCAGTTAAGTTTTATTTTGAAAATTTGAGAATCAGTGAATGGCAAAATTGACATTTTCTTTTTTTTTTCCGATGACGACAGTTCTATAAACTTTGGGGGTAATTTAAGAAATTTGCCCTATTTGCAATGAAGGGCCGTGGTGGAATGTTGGATTGCGTTGGTATTGTTGGTAGCACGTCCCTGCCGGTCTCTAACGAGGGCTGATGACTGGGCCGGTGGGCGAAGAATCCAAAGTTCCATGTTCGACGTTCCACAAATAGAACCACCTTTCCCTCTCTTATTTGAGAGCCTACCCGCTAGCACTCTTAGGCGCCATTTCTACTCCTCATTTTTGTTCTTGTCGGTAAAATGATTCATCAATCCATTCCGAAGCCTTTTACCTCTTTGATCTCTGTTCCATGTCCAAAAACCAAGTTCCTAGATTTCCATTGCTGGCCCAGAATTCGATCAGAAGTCGTAGATTCATCAAGGATGACCGATTCTAGTACTTCACCTTCTTCGTTGCATTATAAATTGCTTGAGTCTGATGGGATTTCATCCAAGGGGCCTTACCGAAATGGGTTGGGGCCTTACACTGGCAGAGATCCGAATGAGAAGAAGCCTGAGTGGTTGCGGCAGAGAGCACCCCATGGAAAGAGGTTTCAGGAGGTTAAGGACTCGCTGTCAAAGTTGAATTTGAACACTGTCTGTGAAGAAGCACAATGCCCCAATATTGGAGAGGTGACAATCAATCTCTTTGCTTTCTATATTTCCTAAGTTCCTCCATTTTCGGGTTTTGTAGTAATAGTTGTTGAACTTTTCTTGTTTCAAGTTTTTTTTTTTTTGTTGGGATTTTCTTTTTGTGGGTTTATACTTTCGGGATTTTCTGAGTTTTAGGTGATAAAAACTGAAGGATGATTTTGCTGTTTTATCATTTAGCTGAGGTTTTGGGTTTTGGAGGGTGATTGGTGAAACTGAAAAGATAAAGAAAAAGAAAGACAATAAGCTTTTCTTTTCTCACTTCTCTGTTTCTTTCCTTTTGGTTTTAATTTTTTCCCTATGGTGTTTGGGTTTGGGGAATTTCCACATTCATAATTTCTTTTTGGGTTGGTGATTTACAGGTTCTGTTATTGAATAGTAGAATCAATGGATATTAAGGTTTTTGTTTTCTGAGCCTTTGTGCAAATGGGAGTCTTAAAATGTAAAATTTTGGTAATACCTTTTCTTTAGTAATTAGAACTAGTAAAAGTGCATCTCTTTTTTTTAAATATTTTGATGAAAGTTAAAATAAAAAATATGTTATTAATTGAATATCGGATGGTCACAGTTGCTCATAAAAAGGATGGTCACTGTTGAAACATGGTTTAAGTCTAAAACAATGCCAAAATTATACTAATGAGCACTATGCAAATTTATGTTATGTTATGTTTTGATCCCTACCCAATTGATAACATTCTTTTGGTACAAAGGATGTGGATGCACTTTTGAGTATATCAAACTTAATCTATTCAATTTGTACACCAAACATGAACACGATCACATTATTAAAGTACAAAGAATCTGCAAAGAGGAAGATGGCAGGGTTTGGGGATAGCAATTAATCATCCAAATCCAATCACTTATTGAACCATAAGTACCAAGTACCAACTGCCAAAATGTCCCTCCATTGGATGCTTCAAAATGGAGTCCCTGCTTGAACTTGTCCTTCTACTCAAGATACTTCTACTGCATAGTTAAATTATATAATCAACTGAAGATACTTCTGTATAATCATTTGGTTTAATGGGTTAGGTTCTATAAGATATTAAGTCAACAGATGGATGACTCTGTTTGGAGTCACTTGGAAAACTTAGAACAAGAAAAAGAAAAAAAAAAGGAAAGACATAAGTAGTGCGATAGAGGAGAAGAAGAAGTAGAAGAGAAGAGAATGCTACGTGTTTAGACAGAAAATATTGTCTCTCCCATGGTTGCTTCTGTTTCCTTTGTATTGCTAGCTATAAACAACAGATAATTTCCAAGAAACCTCCATTTACTTAAAGTTTGGTAGGTTTTTGTTTGCCATAGATTGGGATGATCTTTTTTTGATCAATAACAGTAACATAATTCATTAATTTTTTTGATAGGAAACAGTAACTTTCATTAGATAAAAACCAGAAGTACAACTGTCACCTACTAAAGTGAAAGGTGACCCCTGAACAAAAACAACTTACAACACTGCCCAAAACAAAACCTCCCGATTCACCCCTTGCTTTGCTAGGCTGTCAGATAAAGCATTTGCTGACCTCCTAGACCAATACTTCATTAATTATCAAAGAAATAATTACAATTAAGATAAAGGGAGAGACAAACTCTCTTAGCTCTCCCTAAAAGGGATATAGTATTACAACCATGCCCAAAGCAGTTGATTCCTTTCCACCCCTTGTTTAGCCAAAGAAAGAATTAGCATCTCTTTTAACCCATTTTAGAGTAACATCCATGCCTTGCATCAGCCACTCCACTCCTCTTCCTCTTCCTTTTGCAGCCATCTAATAGCTAGCTTTGAGTCTCCCTGAATTGATAACTTCTTGATGTTCAAATCTTTTGCTTTTTGAATACCCTTTAAAACGGCCATTATTCAGCTCTCAAAGAATCACCCACTCAATAGGACCCGAGTAAAGAACAATAACTTTCCCTTCCTCATTCCTGAATACTCCTCCAATACCTAAAGGACCCAGGTTTCCTTCACTGCTACCATCAATTGGGAGGACCTTTGGAGTGGGGTAAGTTGTAAAGCATTGCCTAGGCTTATCTTGCACCATTGCCTTATCTTATTAACTCTGAAAAATTTGACAAATGGGCGATCTCCTTTCTGATTGAAGAACATGTGGCCATGTGGGTTATGCACCCTTTGTTTAATAGCTATGTGAATGGATGAAAGAATTGAGGGGAGGTGGAAAGGCTGAAGGAGTGGCATAGAGAAACTTTTGGAAGACTGGAGGTAAGAAAAGAAGTTTTCTCAAATCAAATCAAGGAATTAAACTAAAAAGAAGCTCTTAGGCAGCTAACATTGGAGGAGAGTAGGAGAAGATGGGAGTTAAAGGAGGAATTGAATTAGAGGGAATTAGATTGATTTGATTTTATTGCAAGAAACAAGGTTGGAAAGGGTGGATAACCCCTTGCTATCTCACGCCACCATGCTCAGAGATGACTGTGTTATTTATAAACGATGCCTCTGCATGGATTTTTCTTCAAATAGCATAGTATACATTCAACTGCATCTGAATGATGTACTCTAGGCCGGGATATGTATTAATCTGATTATGCTAACAGTATAGGACATAACATACTAGGCCTGTCATGCATAGGTATAACAATTGTTTGAACATGGGTGTGGTGAAGATGATGGTCTGGCCTTCGAAGGTCTTAAGGATTGGCTGGAGGTGGAAAAACGAAATGGCTGGACCCTGACACTGGCTGCTTGATGTACCTTCTTGAGAGGGATCGGGCAGAATGTAGTTCCGGAAGTTTGCTTCTGGTGGTAGAAAAGAGAGATGGCGGGAGGAGAGAGAGAGAGAGAGAAATGGTTGAATCCCCCTTTACATGGGAATGAATCTTGTTATATATCAGATTTCTTTCCTTTTTCTTAATTCTTGGATAAGAGGGGTTTTGGAATTTTCCAACAGCTATCCCATGTCAGTAGTTGCCTGATACCAACTTGTGCTAGAACAGATTGATAAAGAATAATAAGAAGAAGAAAACAAAAGGAAGAAAAGAGAGAAAGAAGGAAGACGAAGGCGAAGAAAAGGAAAGAAAGTTGGAAGAATCCGATCAATCTTGGGCATAACCCTTTCTGATATGATTTATATGAGTACAGATATTACAAAAATACCCTCCAATAGACTTAAACAATATTTTGACTATATTACCCTTAATTAGATGTCTCTCTTAACAGATTCCTCGTGCATTTGCACTGAAAGTGAATGCCATTAAGACAAGAAGACTACCATTTAAATGTGATCTTTGACCTCATGACCACTTTGGGATCTCTTTGTTCAAGTCTGAGCCTGCAGCATCGTATTCTTACCATCAACCCTTGAAATCACTGTGGTTCCAAACAATAAGATTATTCTATAATGTGTTTAATGATGTGAATCCTGCATTGAGGGAGGAATCCTCCCTTGTAGACAGGTTTACTCTAGTTAAGGAAACATCCTCCTTTCATCCATATTCTCTCAATTTCGTTTTGCTATAATGTTGGGTTTTTCTAATAAAGACTACTGAAAAAATTGTTATTCCTCTCTCATCATAGTCTGAGGTAATTTAAGTGCCTTTTACTAATTCTTTTTGTTCCCCTAACTGATAAATTTATTAATTCAATCAAACCTGAAAGAAATTACACTGCAGGAAAGTGCAAAAGGTTCCCTTACACCTATATCCTATTCATCCCCTGTTTAGCAAGTGTATCAGCCAGGCCATTTGCTGCTCTTCTAATCCATTTGAAGCTGACTCCGAATTAATCTGCTAGAAGCCTCACCTCCCTCACTACGCTGTTAGCTCTCATTCAATTTACCACTAAAAGAATGAGTGAGAAAACCTCATTCTTTCAGTTGATCATGATTTTTAGTGTAATAGGTTTTTCTTTTTCATAATTTGGAAAAGAAATACCAATTGCTTTAATCATATTTTTCTGTGTCTTTTTTTTTCATTATTTCTTCCTTTTTTCTTGTTAATCATTTTTTTGACTTACCTTTTCCTTTTTAATGATTTGTATGGTCTTTCTAGTAAATGGGGACTTGGATGAGGCAAAATGTAGAAACTGGTTACTTAATTCATTCATCTTGAGAATTCTCTTCTACTGAGGAGAGATATTATTGAAGGGATGGGAGATCCATCATATGGATGGCCGAACCATGTAGGGTGGCTGGGCGAAATTTCAAAAATTTCATTCTCCCATCTGGAAATCCCATTCCCTGATTTAGAAAAATTGCATTTTTCAAGGTTCGTTCTTGAAACAAACCGGACCAAATCTGAACCAAGATTAGGGAGAGGAATACCTGATACGGAATCCACGCAAAAAGCTCCTCCCAACGTAGGTGCTCACGCCCAAAGAGGGTACCAAATCCTTCCTCCACTGAAGATGACACAACTTAGGGTGAGGTAGGATCAGCAAGTGGATTCTTCAGCAAGAACCCCAATTCTTTAGTAAGAATTGCGTAGGGATGTGAGCATAACTTCAAGATTGTTTCTTCTACCAAGAAACAATATCAAGATTCAATCTTGATCACTCCAAGAGGTGGAGATCGAATAGGGTAGGGCGGCAAAAGCAGAGGGAGAGAGAACTGAATGCAGAAAGCAGTAGAACTGTGTAACCCTTTTCCATTCCCCTCCTCTTTATATATAACCCTTAAAGAGTCAATCTCCTAATTTGATTAGGAGTTTCTTGATCCAAATCTTTATTTGGATCTGGACTCTTTAAGTGATAAGGCTTATCCCTTATCTTATCTGCAGATCAGGATCAACTTCTCCTAATCCAATTAGAAGTTATCCTCTTATCCTTATCTGCTGATCCCTGATCCATACCCAAATTCACCCTCTATTTAATTAATCCAATTAACCCAGTTCGAAATGGGCTTTAGGCCCATTAAGCTTTCAGGTTCACTTCCTTTTAATGTTGGCTAGCTTGGTTCTCTTTGTATGGCATGGGACCCTATCATTTATCTCCACATAAGCCACATGGGTTCAGCCTAGCCTCTGTTACAAGGCCTAGCCAGATTCACTGCTGAATACAGTGAACCCTTGAGTCCATCAGTATGGGCTCTTAATGGGCCCAACATTTACACTAAATGATCTTTGGGTCCAACCATCTTATGAAGTCCCAAGGATTGTGGGCAAATGTGAGATTAACCCTTAAGGTTTATTATCCCTAAATGGTCTTACACTTAACCTCTCAGCCCTTAATGATCATACACTGCTCGACAAGAGAGGACCTATCCCTTGGCTGCAAGTTACAGTGTTGCACTCTCTACTCACATGGATCCCGGGAATTAAAACCTTTTTGCAAACAATTTGTGAAACCATTATATATATATATATATCTCTATATAAATATATTTTGCAAAAACAAATTTCAACAAGTTTGAAATCAACTACCGACAGCTTAGGTTTCTATCAGAGAGAGTGCATTCCCCGATCATTCACATTGTCTGACAAAGGGGCTGATCCTGTCACTATGATCACTCACTCAGGTGAATTCTTGGGCTGCCCCAACATACCCAGGTTTTGACCCCCTCTAAGGATATCACATATTGTAATATCAAAGACAGTCCAATCTGACATCTAGTGTAGTACCATAATCGAGTCTAGGGGTCAGGTGTAACATTCTAGTTTTGCCCATCTGTCTCCAAGGTCCAAGGCAATACTGGAATTTGGTCCGGTTTAGGGTTTCAAGAAAACCCACACCGTATGTGCCTCAAGTCTCACCTTGGCAGCTGAGACAAGTCACCCCAACCCACTTGGCGGCACATTAGTGTCAGCCTTGGCAGGATAAACTTCCCCAGGTCTATCCAATGGTTGTGAAGGTTCTAAACTAACACGAGTCTCATAAGTGTCCAGTTTAAGGGTATTACACAGAAACACACCATATAATATGAACCAAATATGTACTTTTATTCATTTACAATAAATGTCATAATGTACATCAAGCTGATTGGAGCTAAGGGCATACACTGTCTAACAATTATGGCTGTTGTTCAGGCTGTGCAGTGGGCAGGAGATATGAATTTGAGTAGATTACTCATTGAAGGTGACTCAAAGGTGGTTATTGGTTGGCTGTTGAACTTGAACACTGAGACAATTTTGTAAAGTGAAAACCCAATGGGTACAAAGTTCAGCTAAATGCATCGCTGATGCATTAGCAAAACAAGGGTTGGCTAGGAATCTGTTTTTTCTTTTTTTTTTTTTGATAATTAACTTTTGGGCTTAGTTGTAAAGTAAAATGTAAGGGGAGAGGTAGTAGTGACTATACTCTCTAAAGGGTGTATGTAAGCATTACATATTTGTTCTTTATAACTATCAAAGCTGAAAAGCTGATGGTTACTTATAAAAAAATTATCTTCTACTTCATATTTATAAGAATAATGATTTAGTATAAAACAACAGATTGATTATTAGATGGTGGTTGGTTAGACATCTAGAGATTTGAGGTTCAATAATATCAATTTATTTCTAATTATTTGTGTGTTTTTGTTGTACTATGTTAGTGTTGGAATGGAGGTGGAGATGGTATTGCAACTGCAACAATCATGCTTCTAGGGGATACTTGCACCCGTGGTTGTAGGTTTTGTGCTGTGAAAACAAGCAGAAATCCAAAACCACCTGATCCAATGGAACCGGAAAATACTGCTAAGGCTATTGCAAGCTGGGGGTTGGTCTTTGAAAGCTTTTTAACATTATTTTTCTTCAAGCTGTACCTGAAAATGATAGGTTTATTTGGTGTACTTGTTATGGAACTTCTTGTTTTCAGTGTTCAGAGATCCTTAAGCACAAGAATTCTGTCCATGAATCACATTTTCCTATGATATCCCCAAGATAAAAAATTAATACGATCTTGGATCAAGTTATGGATCTCTTTATGGAAAGTTTAGGGGATTGAGTAAATTCTAATTATTGAGATTATTTCAATTTTTTGGTCCAATAACTTCTTAGTTTGAGCAATGTATATGCACATATTTATGCTTAAGAGACATTGGTCTTAGGCAATGTGTGGGAGTTTTGCAGGTTCACAACTGATGCTTGACGAACTCAATATGATTACTCTAGAAGGCAGTCTTGTGCATGTGATGAACATTTTCCAAGTATTTATATTCATTTTTTGATTGTAAGAATTTATACAGTTATCTTTTTTGAAATCAATGGTCACCTCTTGTATTTTTTTGATTATCTTATGATACAAGCAAGAGGCTTGTACCATTACTTTTGACATATCTATGAATTAAAAATGATTGACGTAACATTGTATCAAACATTGCATAAACAAGAATTCCATAACATGTGTAGAAGACCACCAGCAGCTCCAGTTAGAAGAAGTGATTTATTACAAGTGGAAGGAGCTAGAAGAGACAGGTAGACCAAAAAGGACATGGGTAGAAGTAGTAAGAAATGATTTAAGCACTAAAATTAGTGGATATGATTTTAAATAGAACGGATTGGCGAAACAGGATTCATGTAGCCAACCCCATATAGCTGGGATAAGGCATGGATGATGATGATGAAGAATTCCATAACATGTTATTTTATCACAATTTATCTGGGCATTCAAACAGAAAAATGCACAATTAGCTTCCCTATGCATTCTAAAGTTTTCTTATTTGCTTTTGTATTTTTGTTTCCTCTTTTGCACCTCGTTTTATTGACATGTACACTTGTGTTTTGCATTGCACCTCTGTTGCATTTCTCACTTAATTGCAACGCTGAGAATGTCCATTGCTTATATAACTTCAAGTGGAGAAACCTTTAAGGATATCTTTTAGACTTTCAGCAAAGCTTAAGAAGGCTAATGTAGTATTTTTTACACTTTTTGTGTTTGTTTTTGCAGTGTAGACTATATTGTTCTGACAAGTGTTGACCGTGATGACTTACCTGATGGAGGTAGCAGCCATTTTGCAAGCACAGTTGAAGCACTGAAGGTTTATATATTTCTTCTAGCCTTTAATTGTAATTTCTGCCAAATTTTCTATACCCAAAATGTAGACTGATTTAATTTATAGTTCCATTTAATTTCCCATGATTCATTTGCAGAAACTGAAACCTGATATCATGGTTGAGTGCTTGACTTCTGATTTTCGGGGTGATTTAAATGCTGTAACCACTTTGGTGCACTCAGGATTAGATGTTTTCGCCCACAACATTGAGACTGTGAAACGGCTTCAGCGAATTGTTAGAGATCCTCGGGCTGGGTAGGTAGTGCATTTACTAATCTTTCTATAGCTGTTACATCTAATAATTGGTTTTGTGTCAGTGTATTTTTCTTTACTTAAGTTACTTCTTAATCTTGGTTTGAAAAACCTAGCCTGTTTATGCCACTTTTACTTCGACTCTCTTTAGATCTACTGCTATTTCAAGTCTTATTAATATGCCAGACTTAGAAAACTTTGTTTATTCTAGTTTAAATCTACACAAGTCCAAAGACTTCTTTTTTTTTTTTTGAAATGAAAAATCAATTATAAAGAATACCTGGGGGTCATGCTCCATTAATTTATAAATGTGTAAATATTACAATGGAACATTAATAATTTTTTTTCCCGCTTGATGAATAAACAACTCTGCTTTGTACATCATCACCAATAACCACAATATCATAAACATAAACAATAAGTGTGGTCATATTGATAAAAAGAAAATATGTATGGTCACCGAACTATCTCTCTTCTTCACAAAGAGGGTATGATTTGACTGGGTTTGAACACAACCAAATATAAAAAGGGTGTTATGAAATCTCTCAAACTAAGCTTGAGGTGACTACTTCGACCCATAGAGATTTCTTTAGCTTATGCACCTTGTAATGAAAGAGAGTAAAACTATTATGTGGAGAAAGGAAACCTTTATACTACCCTACTTGTTAGTCAAATAGCATAATAAAATAAAATTAAAACACAAAATATCTTGGTTTCTTTCTAAAATATTCTCTTCTGGATCCATCAATATCAGACATTCTGTAGTTGGCTGCAATCTTCAACTGGGATAGGAGGCCAGCTAACTTTAGGAGAGGGGATGGTCCCCAAAAGGGCCTAGGGCCCAATTGGAATGGTTGGTCTGTCAAACCATTTGGCTTGGGATTAAGATGGGTCTGCATTGTTGAGTTAATTGCTTGTTTTTAGATTTTTCTTTCATTGTTTTCTACATTCTTCTTTGTCTTTGACTTCTCTCTACTTTCCTGGTGCTTGTCTTAATAGAATTTCTCTGTTGATAAATCAGGTATGAGCAGAGTTTGTCTGTTTTGAAACATGCGAAGTTCTGCAAAGAGGGGGTGATAACAAAATCTTCCATAATGCTTGGCCTTGGTGAATCTGACGAGGAGTTGAAGGAAGCTATGGCTGATTTAAGGGCAATAGATGTTGATATTTTGACACTTGGACAGTACTTACAGGTGACATGACATAGAAAAGCCATTTTCTTGTTGTTTACTTTTTAGGAATGCAATATAGACACGTTTTAATTGGGCCAAGATCAATTGAATGTCTCCTGCTCAGTGATAACTGACAGGATCATCATCATCTAAGCCTTGTCACAACTATATGGGGTTGGCTACAGGAATCCTGTTTCACCATTCCATTCTGTTCAGTGTCATATTCATTGTTAAATTATGAGCCAATAAATCATTTTTTACTACTATCTAGATCCACGTCAGTTTTGGTCTGCCCCGACTCTTCAAGCCCCTTCAACTTGTAAAAGATCACTTCTTAAAAGTGCTGTAGATGGTCTTCTCTGCAAGTGACCAAACCATTTTGTTCTACTTTCCCCCATTTTGTCACCTATTGGAAGTTTTCCTCTTAGCCTATGTGGTATTGACCTATTACATAAGACAGCTGATGCACCTCTCCATTTTGTCCAATTTGCTCTAATTCTATTGGTGAAATCCTCCTAAATCTCTCCCTTGACTTGTTTTGGATTGTTGAAACAAGGTAACAGAAGTCACATTGAGTTCTCTCTTGGTCTCCAAAGTCCAAACCTAAGTGTTCCTTAATTTGTAAATTCTTTACTGGATAAAGCAAGGCATTTTGTCAAGTAGGGCCTCATAGGCCTGGGTGGTGTAATTTTTTGTTCAGACTGATGATAAGTTGACTCCGCTAGTGTGAGCTTGTCTTGTGCTGCCTGTCCCATGCCTGAATAAAGGAGGTTGTGTTACATTGTTAGCCAACATTAAAAGTTTTGTGAAACTCTTATCGTCATGAATCCTCAATTGCCTTTTTGTGCTTGAACAGAATGGAATGGTGAAAGAGGATTTGTGTTGTGCTTTAGAAGTGCAAGGTGCAAAAAAAAGTGCAAGGGGCTTTTTGTGCCCAAGGCACAAGATGCAAGGCAAGGTTCACACCTTTTTGAAGCAAGGCACAACATTTTTAAAAACTTCAGAAAATGCAAAAAAAATCAAACTAAATAAAAATATTAAAAATAGTATGAATTAAAAAATGCATACTTAAATTTCAAACTAAATGTTTTAAAAAGCTTATTGGCTTAACTTAACATGAATAAACATAATACATTAAACATGTTCAAAGTGAAAACGTAAAAAAAGAATCGAGCATAATATATAAAACATATTTAAGCAATCAATAATGCAAGCATATAAAACTTCCAATCTTTTTATTCCCAATCACATTACTTCTACAAGCATATAAAACATCACACGTTTCATTCTTAATTCTACAAACTGCCTTTGTATCAAACACCTTGAGGCAAGACCAAATGAGTCTGTGCTAGGGTCTTAAATTCTTAACCTGTACATAAAAGATTGGTTTTGTAATTTTAATTATGGTTCCTTATGTTTTGAAAAATGTCTTCATTAAGAAGTATGAATGAACAACATTAGCAAAGACATTTTGCCAAGGTGCGCATGGGCTTAGGTGCAATGTGCAAGACGCACCCGGCACATGCCCTTTCAAAGGGGCTGCACCTGGGCCCTAATGCACTTTGCCTGTGTGCCTAGGAGTGCATTCTAAATCACTGGATTCAATCATTCATGTAGCTGACCCCATATGATGATTTGTTTTTGGAGTCTGGCCAGTACTGAAAAATTCTTTCTAACACTCTAGGACTCCCCATCCCATCAGGATGATCTAACAGATTTTACCCACTTACTCTTAGATATAATGAATTTGTATGATTTATTGATCTTAATTAATAAGTGTTTTTTTTTTTGTTGCAGCCAACTCCCTTACACTTGACTGTTAAGGAATATGTCACCCCTGAGAAGTTTGATTTCTGGAAGGAGTATGGAGAATCGATTGGTTTTCATTATGTAGCCAGTGGCCCCTTGGTAAATTCTCCTTACTATTTTCCACTCAAATTATTCTTTTTATAGTTTGTCTTCTGAAGTCATTGAATAACTAGGATAGAAGTGTACATAAGTTATCTTTGAAACTAAACAAAGCCTGGACGCATGACTAGTCTATTTCAAAGAATTAAATGGATCAATGTGTTAGCTAGAAACTAAAGCCTCATAAAAACAATTAAGTTTTATCCAAAAGTTCACCAGCTTGCCAACATAATCATGGATTGAATTGAGCTTTTGCTTGATCAGTTACTAAAAGTGTAGTTCTCTCATGATTTGGCTCTAGGTTTATAAAAAATATATATGCTCACTGAGTTCTTGACTGCAAACCTTGTTGGTCCTCGGTGAAGGTAAGATAACTTAGAACAATTGGATTAAGAAACCTGTTTAACCTATATACTGGGTTTAACACTATTCAAGAGCCTGAAGGAATCAAGAGTGAATTGGCTTCTTTCTCTCTATGAGTTGAGAATAGGAAAATTGTACATCCCAGCTCAACTCCTAGTTGTTCCTTGTCATAATAATTAATTGTTTTCCTGCAATGCATTAAAATACATACAAGGTGTATGCTTAAAAGTGTGCTTCTGTGCAAGCATCCTCAAAATGTGCCGAGGCACTCAAGTATCATGAACCTTTTGCTTCGTGCATCGAAGTGTACTATGAGTTTTAAATACTACTCACAAGGGATAGAAAAGAAAATGAGTCACCATTAATCTTAAGGAATTCTAGTGACACAGACCACCCAAATATAAATAAAAGTAGTAAATAGAAAAAAAAAAGACTTCAAATGGTAATATGGTATGCAAGAAAGAAGAGAAGGGTTAGGAGTTAGAGTTCTGAAAAAAGATGTGGTCAAGTGAGTTTGATTCAATATATTCTTTTAATCATTTAGAAATAATAAGAGTGTTATCTCATTCTATGTTAAGAGAGGATTGACAAAAACAATTATTTGAAAAAGGGAAGATCTTTTAGATAAAATAGGTTTGGAAAGCGAAAAGGTCTAGGGGAGGTTAGATTGAGCATGACCCCAAGAGACTAAACAATAGGGTTTGGGTCTTCTTTATACATTCTTGTTTAGACTCAAAATAACCAGATACTGTTGGAATAGGGTTAGAATCCATCAGATGGATGGCCCAGCCATGCAAGATGACTGGCCAAACTTTCAAAAAAAAAAATCCGAACCTTCTCGGGAACCAATTTCTCGGTGATCATTCTTGCATCGAACTGAACCAGATTTGAAACCAAAAGGAAGGGAGAATATACCTGATACGGAGACCACAAATTGCAGCTCCCAAGGTGGTAGTTCACGCCCGATATCAGACCCAAAACCGTTCTCCAACTAAAAATGGCGCAGTGTATAGAGAACCGATTCAACAGCACTTGATTGCAGCAAATCTGCTATCCAACTTGCTTGGATTGAATGAGGTAAATGAGCCTGATCTTCCTCAACATTTTTCTTGCAAAAACTTGAAGAAAAACTTACCAAAATTCAGTTCTTGAAAGCCTAGGTCGAGTTAGGGTTTCTTGGCAGACAAAGAGAAGAAGAGAGAACAAGAGAGAGAGAGGTGTTCTGGTATTGTTTGCCCTCTTCTTCTTTTATCTCATTATGGAGCACTCTCCTAATCTAATTTAGGAGATTATCCAAACCTGATTTGGATCTAGACTCTATTAAGAGATAAACCTTATCCTCTTAAGAGGACAGGTGCTCCATACCCAATACCAAACCTAGATTCGACCCAGAGCACATGACAACAACAGCTTAATTAATCTTATTAATTTTGGGCCTTAGGCCCATTTACTTCAAAGGCTCGCGACCCAAGGTGTTGCATGGCCACTTTAGGCCTGATATTATAATGTGTGGGACCCCACAATGATCTCACACAAGCCCACATGGGTTCGACCTAACCTTTGAAAGAGGCTATGCCGAATTCAGTGCTCAGGGCAGTGAACCCCTGGCCCAATCAGCATTGGTCCAGTTTGGGCCCAACATTTACACCTAAATGATCCTTAGATTCAGCCACCCTATGAAGACCCAAGGATAATGGACTCATGTAAGACAAAGCCCATCAAGTAATCAACCCTGTAATGGTCTCTTATACTTAACCTCTCGGCCCATAATGATCAAAACACTGCCCGACAGGGAAGGACCTCTCCCCTGGTTGCAAGGTGTTGTGTCACACTCTCTACTCGGATGGATCCCGTGATTAAAACCTTTTGCAAACTTTTTTCATAAAATAGTAGTATATATAACATATAAATACTTTTGCAAAGCCAAATTTCAAACACAGATGAAATCCACTACCGGTAGTTTAGGTTTCCATTAGAGAGAGTGCAAACCCTGATATTTACTTTGTCTGACAAAGGTGCCAATCCTATTACTATGATCACCCACTCAGGTGAATTCTTAGACTACCCCAACATACCCAGGTATTTGACCCTTAATGGATTTCACTGGTTGGCATATCAAAGACAACCCAGTCCAACACCTAGTGCAATACCATAATTAAATCTGGGGTTATGTGTAGTTTTGCCTATCTATCTCCAAGGTCCAAGGCATAACTGGAAATTGGTCTGGGCTCAGTGTTTCTAATAAACACCCACTGGCTGTGCTTGGGGTCTAACCCTAGTAGTTGAGACAAGCTGCTCCAACTCCTTGGCAGCACACCAATGTCAGCCTTGTCAGGATAAATTCCCCAAGTCTATCCAATGGTTGAGAACATTCTAAACTAACATGAGTCTCTTAATTGTCCAGTTTAAGGGGTAATACACAGAAACATACCAATATTAACATGAAACAATAATGTACTTTATTCATTTACAAATAAATGTTTACGTACATCAATCTGATTGGAGCTAAGGGCATTCATTGTCTAATAGATACAACTCCTGATTGCTTAGGATTAAAGAAAAACCATACCAATAAGAACACTCAAACAAGGATTTAGATTTTTCCTAATAATACGTAATAATTCTACTACAACTAAACAAACTAAAACAACTACAAGATCGACCTCAAACAACTAATCTCATTAAAAACTTACACTTTGTAGTTAAAATGGCAGTAACTCCCTTAAATGTGTCGGTTTTAGAAGATCTTGGTCTTATTAGATAGATAACTCAATAACCTATCTAATAAGTAATAGCTCAATAATTCAATAAACATTTACTATTGAAAAATAGATTGAGAAAACAACGTACATGGTTTCAGCTAACAACCCTTCAGTTAGACTCTTTAAACCATTCTGACCTTTTAGGATGATTAGCCTAATCTGTAAGACACTAATAAGCTGAAGAATAAATTTGAAAAAAAAACAAAATTCAAATCAATAAAAATTACAAAATTGTCACTTGATAAGAAATTGGTGAAAATTGATATCTTTATTCATGAAATTTTCCTTGTTTTTGTGTTTGCATCAAAAGAGAAAGGAGCATTGAGTAAGAAACTTTTTTTTTTTGATAACTATAGTAGGAAATTATTTTGAATTAAGAAAATAAAAAAAAAATTGATATTTAAGCCTAATATTGGGTATGGTGGACTCACTTGAAAGTTGAATCACTTGACTCGAGTATGACCATAATTATCAGAAAATTGAACATTAAAAGATAGGAAGGTGAATGAATTTAAGAAAGAAAAGGGAAATGTAGAAATGATGATAATGAAAATTCATGGAAGCACACCAAATTGAAGTTTTGAAAATAAGATGCAATTTTGTTAGGGAAAATCTTTTGAAGAATTTTTTGTGGAGTTTCTCCTTAGGAAAGGAGAAGAGAACAGCATAAGATGCCTAAAAGTTAATGACAAGATGGTGTATGAAGTTGGAAGAATTAAAGAAGAAATTGTGGACTATTACTCAAACCTCTTCAAGAAGAGATGGAAGTTTAGACCTTAGTTGAATGGGCTGCACCTAAATATCATCTCTAATGAGGGAGAGGTAGAGTTGGTTAAACCATTTTCAGAGAAGTATGGGAAGCAGTAAAGCAGATAGAGGGAGATAAAGCACCAGACCCGATGGTTTCACAATGCAAATTTTCAAAGCAGGTTGGAATTTCCTTAAAAAGGATCAATTTAAGGTGTTTGATGGGTTTCACTCAAAAGTAGCATTAGAGGTGCCTTTACTCCATCCTAGGTTTAAAATGTTGGTGGAAATAATGGTCATCCAAATACCGGAAACATGTTGGAAATATTGGAAGCGTCCTATGGAAATATTGTAAAAATCTTAGACATGAGGAAACATTGTGAAATATGCAAAAGTGTTGAATGCTATTTCATGTGATGATAAAAGATGCATGCTAGATCCGTCTAAACTATCATCTTATTTGAAATCATCAAAACTACATGACAGAGGAGTTCAAGCAAACTTTAAATTCATAGAAAGTGCATAGATCACTCAAATAATTTATTATACAAAAAAAAACTAAGATTTGACTTCATGTTTGAAAAGAACTTTTAGCTGGCTTAAAGTGGGAATCATGTGCATTTGGTGGACAATAAAACTGTTATTCTACATATCTAAAATATTGTTACCAACTTATGTTATAATATCTCTTGAGATCCATATAGCACCAATGGCTTTCATTGGGGAATATGTCGATTCTAATAATATTTTGTGTGGTACCCATGGAAATGGAAATATGTAGTGGAAATATAAGGAAATTTGTGGACATTTTAAACCATGACTCCACCTTTATTACCTTGGTCCCCAAGAAAGACTATGCCTGTGATATAAAGGATTATACCTTTTTTTTTTATCAATAACACTTTCATTAACTCATCAATAGAAGAATTACATTAGGAAGACAAACACACTTATCTTCCAAGAACAACAAAGAACCTCAAGAAAAGGAAAAAAAGAAAGAAAACACACTATAGTTACAACTTAGCCCAAAATAGTGAATCCCTTTCTGCCCCTTGTTTAGCTAAACCGTCAGCTATGGAATTAGCCGATCTTTTAACCCAAC